AGGAGACGGCAGGGGGACACGCTGTGGAACAGAGGAAGGACGAAGTGCCATATGGTGCGTGCCGAGGACAGGATGAGGATGTCGACGCGGAACAAGACGACCAGTGCAAACAGCCCGAACAGGCGAGGCAGGACGAGACGCAGCCTCACGACGCTCTGTAAGACCTCCTGTCTGCTCAGTGTAGGGAGGAGCAGGCAATGGAGCGGCTGGCTGTAACTGCATCTGTGAATGGTAAGGCGGTGGACACAGTATGGGAGGAGTAGGGCCAGTAGAAGACGGAAGAACAAGAACCTGCTGAAGTAGTGGAACGAAGTACGCTCGTGGCCGCACAGTGCCTCCAGAACCAGCACCGACAGCACCAACACCCTCAGGGCCAGCACCTCTAGCTCCAGGGTCTCCAGCTCCACCACCAGCATCACTACCAGCTCCAGCAGCACCAGCGCCTCCAACTCCAACTCCCCCAGCACCTCCAGCTCCAGCAGCTCCAGTACCTCCAGTATGAGCACCTCCGGAACTAGGGGCCCCAGCACCTCCAGCAGCTCCAGCTCCAGCGCCTCCAGTTCCAACGTCAGCAGCACTACCCGCTTCAGCAGCTCCACCAACTCCGGCAGCTCCAGCACCAGCGCCTCCAGCTCCAGCTCCTGCAGCACCTCCAGCTCTAGGGCCTCCAGCGGTAGGCCCCCCAACCCCAGCAGCGCCACTCCAAAGGCTCAAGCGCCGAGAAAACCACTCGCGCAGCTGCGGTGGAGAGAGAGGCTCCCGTCGAGACGAGGCACCTGTAGGACCTCCAGTAGTCAAAGTACCTCCAGGCGCAGAATGCTCAGGCTCATCACCCCCAAGCTCAGCACCTCCAGGCTCAGCACCCCCAGACTCAGCAACCCTAGGCTCAGCACCCTCAGGCTCAGCACCCCCAGTCTCCTCACCGCCGGCTCAGCACCCCAAGACGTAGCACCTCTAGCAGCACCACCCTGAGCAGCACCAGAGTCCACAGCTACCTCGATAGGCTCGACAGGGTCTACCTGGGACACACCTAAGGGAGCAGGACCTTGAGGGGGGAGGGGGTCTACCGGAGGAGGACGTGGTGCAAGGAAGAGCGGCGAGGGAGGGAGAGGGGCAGCGCGGTAGGGGAAGAGTCGGCAAAAGGGAACCGAATCGTCCAACGTGATGTCCCGAGAGGGGAGGACAATGCACGAGGTGGGGTGGTAAAACTGCCAGCCAGGAGCGTCAGGGGGAAAGCCAAGAAAGACAAAGGGAAGAGCACAAGAGGAGAGCTTGTCCGCGGAAGTATCGCGGACAAAGGCACGAGATCCCCAGACCCGGAACACCGACACATTGCCAATCTCTCCCGTCCAACGCAGTGTTCGCGAGGTCTCCGTCAAGGAGACACGGGGCCAGAGGTTGAGCTGATGCACAGCGTACGAACCGCAAACGGCCATAGAAAATTCGGGGCAGCCGCATGAATCATGGACGTACGAGCGACCTCCATGACTAAGCCAATGCGGCGCTCAGCAACCCCATTCTGCTGCGGAGAGGATGAAAGCGTGAACGACTCGGTGATGCCCTCCCCATGACAAAATTCCCGTAAGAGGTTGGAAGCAAACTCACCACCTGTATCAGAGTGCAGACGCAGGACTGGAAGGTCCCTGTGGAAACGCTTGCGAAGCTGGAGACGGAAAGTGCGGATCCAAGAGATCAAAACATCAGAGATCTCCCCCTTGCGCAGCAAGGGGAAGACTGTGGTGTAACGCGAGTAGTCGTCAACAACCAGCAGGAAATAGCGCTCGCGGCCCTGCCCACGGATGCGGGCTGAGCCCCACACGTCCATGTGGAGAGTCTGCAAGGGAGCAATCGTTGGGGGAAACGAGGAAGAGTGAGGAGCGGCGCCCTGCCACCCCTTGACATAGGGAAGGTGGGGACGGGCAGGCGAGGGTGGGAGGGGAGGCAGGGACTTGGGAAGACCAGAGACAAGGACATGGGAGTGCATGCCACGGAAGCGGGGCAGGGAGGGGTGACCAAGGCGGTGGTGCGAAAGGAGAGTCTGGTGCGACAGGGCGCGACACGAGCAAGGGGCCGCAAGCTGACCGGACGCGGACGCAGAAGCAACCACCTAAGGAGGCGCAGTAGCCAGTGTGTACAGGCTTGACCCAGGCCGACGGGTGAACGTGGCCAGGTGACGGCCCGTCCGTGCACACGTGCAAATCGCCACACGCTGTCCTCCAGGAGTAACAGTATTAACCCATTCATCCTAAAAGACTGCATTGCTCACCAAGTTCGTAGAGAGCGAGGGGAGGTGAAGACCTGACAGTGAGCCAGACGGGACCGTCGAACACGGGAGAATAGTGGAGGAACGTGCAAGAACCGGGCCCCCAGAGTGGTCAACCAGAGAGACTGCAACCGGTGCTGCGAGTGGTGTGGCTGTGGTGCTTTCGGAAAGAAACAACGGGAAGCACCTGAGTCAAGCGTGAAGGAGTGCAAGGCCTTAGCAGGCGCAGTGTCAGGGAGAGCAGACTCACTAGCACCTAAAGCAGCAGCCTCTATACCTGTGTCGGGTGGCACACACAGGTAACAGTCACCCCCAGGATAAATAATCAATGCATACAGGGTAGCAAGGATAGCATCATAATCAAGAGCAAAGATATCCACACCCTGCCTAAGCAGCTCTGCCCAGTAGGAAAGCCCAGTCGCATCGAGAAACTTTGTGCGAAAGGCGTCGTGAAGACGGGAGAAGCAGCGGTACTGGGTATGGGGCTTGCCGCATGTCTGACCAGCACAAATACCTGTACAAATAACATACGGGCAGCGAACACTACCCCCAGACGCCCAACGCTGAGCAAACCACTCACGAAGCTGCTGGGGCGAAAGGGTCTCACTCGGACGCTGGTGTTGCTGCTGCTGGCCGCCTCCAGAACCTCCCCTCTGAACAGCTCCACTCCGACCGCCACCACTCCCAGTGTTGGATGCACGTCATTCTGAGTGCATGTCATCCTAACGTCCTGCCGAGTGCTTGTGCTATTTGTGCTTGCATGATTTGCATGAGCGTATATCATTATGCATGGCTGTTGGATATTATTATCTCTGTGTTTTTCTCCAAGTTTGAATGCTTGATCATGCAGGAGAAATCCAGAGCTTTCCAATGATACAAAGATCGCCTCACTCCGACCAAGATCGCCCACGTTACAAGATTTCCAAGACTTGGATTTCTTATTACCTTGTAAGGTTATATCTACATTGGGTGATTATTGGGTCATGACTATAAAGGGATCTTTGGTTAGGTGGTTAGGGAAGGCAACTTTGACTTTTGGATTGGGGTGGCTAGAAGTTTCAAGCATGGGTTGCAAATGTTGCAACACCTAGGCAAAATCCAACTATATTGGATTTTGCATGTGACACCTCAAGGGCCTCATGATGATGGTTACATCATTGCTGCTAGGAAGGTTCCTACCATCCTTCCCTAGCTCTTGGAGAACCCCTTCTCTCTCATGGTTCTCTTGGAGTCCCCAACTCCAACTTCCTATGCTCTAATGCTTGTACTCCCTCCACCATTCTAGTCATGCGGCTGCTGGACGTTTTTACTTGGTTCTCACTCTATAGACCATCTTAACGACTGATTCAACTTGCAGATGGTAGTTAAGGCTAAGGCGCACAATCGTACTGAGCGGATTTGCGTTTAGCTGAGAATTGAGTTCGTCATAAGCTCTCAAAGTGAGGGATCCTGAATAACAAGTGGTATCAGAGCGGGTAGTCGACTTTGAGACGACGAATCTGTTGGTGCAACCCTACGGTTTGCACTCGGCTTGTTGTCCGTGTGCGTGCATGCGTGTGTGCATGGAATGGAATGAGTGCATAAAATAAATATATATTTCATGCTTATAATAGTGTATGTATGATGGGTCATGATGTCGAGTGTGTGTGTGTGTGTGTGTGTGTCGAGTCAATAGCGAGTTATCGCTAGTCGCTGGTTACGCGATCATTTGTGTGTCCCGCACGGTTTCTATTTTGTCGTGCGCAGTCTCTATTTTTGTCGCTTGTCGAACGTTCGGCGTGTCGTAGGTGTGTGCAGCAGTCCCATCAAGAACTCAAGGATGATTTCTGTGTTGAAGAACCGTAGCCTTGGTTCAAGCTTCAAGTGATTCCGAAGCTCGCCAAAAGGGTACACCTCAAGATGTTGAAGATAGTTACATTTCAATGTGTAGTGTAACATTTCTGTTGGTGTAGACCCTTGTGGAGGGTAGTTTCAAGACCCTTCGTGGCACTATTCCACATCACTGTACCTCGGCTCTTGGGGTTTGTATTAGCTGGGAGTCATTCCCAACTTGTAACTCTTCCTAACCCTTCCTATTGTGAATTCGAAGACGATAGTGGCTGCCATAGTGCCGTTCGTTCAAACTGACACTGTGTCGTCAATACTTGGTAAAATCGTGCGATCTAAATTGCCTGTTGTAGGCGACGTTAAGAAGCTCCAGACCCAATTTGAATCAGGACGCTATGAACGTTTAAAGCTGCTGTGCAGAAATCGGACTGAGCATTCAATCTTTTGTTTTAGGCACATCGAAGCCTACTGTGACTATAACAGAATCCTCGTGAATTCTCAACCAATGTTGACGAGTGAGACCATTTTCTTGTAACTCTTCTCGCGAACTTTCGATTGGTGGTCGAACCGCGTTCTAATTCGAAGTACTCAGTCCACGACGGTAATTTTTGTAGAATCAATTTTTTTGGCAGAATTCTCTCCAAACGATTTCTCAAGTTTCCACCGTTCATAATGCCTCAATATGGTTGGTACGAACTCCGGAGGTGCTAGTGGCGAGATGGATAGAAGTAGAGAGGCTGGAGAGCAAGAGGGAGCTTCTGGTGGAGGAGTGGGGACTCACCAACCAGCCAACCCTACGCTACCCTCAACTTCTACACCATCTCTTACAACCGTGGATCCTGTGAAGACGTTCTCTATTGAGAAGTTCATAAGAGAGGACTACGAGCATTGTAGTTTCTGCATGAGGCTGATGTACACACAATACAAGCTAAGGGATCTGGTGGAGGGGAAGGAGAAGATGCCGGAGGCTGCGGAGCTGAAAGGAGCGTGGATGAAGCGATCGTTCAACGCGTACATGCTCATGGCTCAAGCGGTTGGCGGACGACAACTTGACCACATCAAGGAGCTCTTGGGTGATCCAGAGTGTGGCCCCAAGGCTTGGTATAAGCTTCTGGATATGCACTCACCGACAAATGCTACTGGCATCGTGCTACTTGCGCGGCGGCTGCGCGACATCAAGTTCGTTGATGGAGAGCCGATGCAACCGGTGTTGGTTGAGATGCGGGACATCGTCACGAAGCTACAAGGCGGCGGTGTGGTGTACCCGGAGCTTGTGCAATTCGTGGAGATCGTGATACGGCTACCGGAGTCGTGGTCTGCCCTTGCGATCAACCTCAACTCTCAAAAGCCCCAGTGGAGCGTGGATTACATTCGCGCGCACATCCTAGAGGACTTGCGGTGGAGGAGTGTTGAGCGCTCGGAGGAGGGGGCTGGCTATGGAGCTTGAGGTGGAAAGAGTAGCTTCAAGAAGAAGTGGAAGGGCAAAAACAAGGACAACCCTAAGGAGGATGGGGGTGGAGGTCAAGGGGAGGTGTGCTTCTACTGCAAGAAGCGCGGACATTGTTGGCGGAAGTGCTACCAACGACCCAAAAATTGGACCCTGCCTTCATCAAGCAACCAGCGTAGTGGCACGAGGAGTGGGGGAGTCATGGGAGCTAGTGGAGAGGAGAAGGAGGAGAAAGGCGACAAATCTGAGGAGCGAAAGGCCGGGTTCTTCTTCTTCGTGAACGAAGGCGCAACCGACCTCGCTATGGCTGCCAAGGTTCTCCTACACCCCCTCACCCATTGGGTGATTGACTCTGGGAGCTCTTGGCACATGACTCCTCGTGCGGACCTACTCGATGAGATTCAGCCCGCACCCATCTCTACAGTCACATCCGCGACGGGCGCCAAGGCCAAGGTCATGGGCATGGGATGCGCCAAGTTCATGGGAGCGGATGGAGAGCTCGTGCGGCTAAAGAACGTGATGTGGGTGCCGGACTTGTGCGCAAACCTGATTTCTACCGGCCGGTTGGGAGATGCGGGTGTGAACACCGAGACGATTGGCCCGGAGCGCTATCGTGCTTACAATGATGAGCGCCTCATTTGGGACCTGCAGTGGAAGAGAGATGTCCACGAGCGCATGTGGCAGATCCCGGTCCTCCGTTGGCGAAAATCGGGCAAGGCCGCAACGGCGGCATCTATGGAGGAGAGCGTCACCGAGGAGAAGCATCAAGGTGTGCAAGGAGAGGAGTTGATTGGAGGAAGCGCGGCGGTGAAGGCGTCGGCTACCTCGGGTTCAAACATGAGTTGTGGCATCTGTGATGCAATCATATGCATTCACGTCTGTTTGCCTCCCATCATATGTTCGTGCGTTGCATGCGTGGTGTGAGCGTGTGCAAGAATTTGTGTTTGGTGTGGTTTGGATTCTTTGATTGTGTGTGAATGCTATTTGGCTTGAGCAGATATCTGAAGTGACTCCTCTGCTCAAGAGCTTTCCGAAGAACCAAGAATCGCCGCGATCGGAGCAAGAACGACGAACTTATGTTCGTTCGAAGTTTTGATTGGGATGCGACGACTTTGGGTAGTTGTGAAGTGACTCAATATGGGGTACAGACTTTTGGGGGTTGGGAAATTCGTCCCCATCACTGTATTTGATGCCAAGTGGTTGGGAGAAGCCAAACCAGGTTGACAATTGTGGCCAAGTTGGGGTGAGGTGGATTGTGGAGGTTGGGAAAATGACAAGGGTGCAAGTTGGGTACCTATAGAGAGGGAATTTGTGTGGCGTGGGGTTTCCTTGGTTGGGGACTCCTTGGGGACCTTCCCTCTCATCCTCCTCTTCCCTCCTACCTGGTTTATTCCTACTCTAACTTTTTTGTGTGAACTTGTGAGACTATTGTGATTGAGTTAAGTTGTTATGGCAGCATACTCCCTAGTGCGCCGAAATTCATAACTTAAGATTTACTTCACCTTTTGATATGAATCAAACTGGAGATGTAGCCACTGTCTAGGGCTACAACATATATGAGTTTGGTGAAGTTTTGGCTGTGCATTTTTCGTCGACGGCGTTTCTTGTGAGCACGACGATTCTGTCCAGAGTTCTAAGCCAACGATTTTCAGAAATTTAGGCACCTAATCTTCGTAGACTCCGTCCTTAGTCTCTAACAATTGAGAGGGATGTTGAGAGGAGGTGGTTGAAGGTGCATCAGTCACACTACATCTCTGGTGTCATGGAGCAGTATTGTGTGACTGGGGGTCGCACTGTGATGACACCGTTCCTTGCGGGCTTCAACCTGAAGAAGGCAGCTGAGGAGGATGATGTACTCGGGGATGAGCGGCAAAATGAGCACCACTCACTCATTGGGAGTGTGATGTATGCTGCTGTGCATACGCGACCTGATGCTTCATTCGGAGTGGGGCAGTTAGCCAGAGTTGTGCAGCGGCCCACTGAGGAGCAGATGGAGGTGGCAAAGCGCTTGGTGCGCTACCTCGGATCAACGGCATCTGCTGGTGTTCAGTTTTCAGCAGGCGGCCAGCTGAAACAGATTGGAGCAGATGGAGTCACGCCTGGAACCTTGAAGCTGTCGTGCTTCACCGAGGCTACGTGGGCCTCAGAGGAGGAGGATCAGTCATCAGTTGGCGGCTTTGTATGCATGGTCGGAGGTGGACCAGTGAGCTGGAGGTCCAAGAAGCAGAGTGAGATTTCTCAGTCTTCCGGAGAGGCAGAGTGCATGGCGATGTACCATGCCATCAAGGAGATCGTGCTCCTGAGGAAGCTGCTGGAGGACATACACCACTTTTCTTCGAAAGCGAGGCTACTATTGGCATGGCCAATAATCCTATCCTGAATGGGCTGAACAAGCACATGAAGATTAAGTGGCACTGGGTGAGGCAGATGGTGAAGGAGGGGATTGTTGAGCTTCACCATGTGAAGGCCAGCAAGCAGGCGGCAGATCTTCTTACCAAGAGACTTCCCGAGAGCGTACATTGGAAGTGTGCTAAGATGTGTGGCATGGCATTGCACTAGTGTGGGCAGCAGTGTCCATATGTATGAGTGCATGTGTGATTGAGTGCATAAGAGTTTGCATATGTGTGAGTGTGTATGCATGCAGTCCGTTAGTCAGAGGGGGAGTTTGTTGGATGCACGTCATTCTGAGTGCATGTCATCCTAACGTCCTGCCGAGTGCTCGTGCTTATCATGCGTGCATTGTTTGCATGAGCGTATGTCATTATGCATGGCTGTTGGATATTATCATCTCTGTGTTTTTCTCCAAGTTTGAATGCTTGATCATGCAGGAGAAATCCAGAGCTTTCCAACGATACAAAGATCGCCTCACTCCGACCAAGATCGCCCAAGTTACAAGATTTCCAAGACTTGGATTTCTTATTACCTTTTAAGGTTATATCTACATTGGGTGATTATTGGGTCACAACTATAAAGGGATCTTTGGTTGGGTGGTTAGGGAAGGCAACTTTGACTTTTGGATTGGGGTGGCTAGAAGTTTCAAGCATGGGTTGCAAATGTTGCAACACCTAGGCAAAATCCAACTAGATTGGATTTTGCATGTGACACCTCAAGGACCTCATGATGAGGGTTACATCCTTGTTGCTAGAAAGGTTCCTACAATCCTTCCCTAGCTCTTGGAGAACCCTTTCTCTCTCATGGTTCTCTTGGAGTCCCCAACTCCAACTTTCTATGCTCTAATGCTTGTACTCCCTCCACCATTCTAGTCATGCGGCTGCTGGACGTTTTTACTTGGTTCTCACTCTATAGACCATCCTAACGACTTATTCAACTTGGAGATGGTAGTTAAGGCTAAGGCGCACAATCGTACTGAGCGGATTTGCGTTTAGTTGAGAATTGAGTTCGTCGTAAGCTTTCAAAGTGACGGATCCTGAACAACACCTAGTGCCGCCACCATCGCCGCCGCCGCCACCCCCACTGCCGCCACCACCGCCGCCACCCACGCCTCCACTTCCACCACCACCCCCACGACCACCACCGCCACCTCTCCGCCGCCACCCCCGCCACCCTGGCCTCCCTTGCCCCTGCCGCTGCGGTGCCTCCCACTAGGAGCAGACGCAGCCCCGACCTCCTCAACACGAAGGAAGTCAACAGTAGCAGCAGAAGCGACAGAGGGGACAAGGGGGGAGGGGGAACACCCCTCAAAGAAAGGAGTGCAAGGAGTGCCACGAGAAGTGCCTACAGCGCCTATGCTGGTCTCAGCTACAAAAAGGTGCTTCTCGAGTAGGTCGACAGGTAGGTCTGTGGGGTCGAGAGCGAGAAGGAGGTCCCTGACTGCACTAAGAGAGTCAGGGAGGCGGGTGACGATGTAGTAGAGTGTGATGTACATGGGAGAGGGTTCTTGGCTAGAAACTCGGCAGGAAGCGCGGCTCGGCAGCGGACATCACGAGTGCGAAGGTGAGTGACGAGGTCGGCGATTGTGGCAAAGGCATATAGCTCGGGAAACAGGTAGGGCAGGATAAGGCGGCCTAGAGCAGGAGTGGTCGGGGAGGAGTAACGAGCGACTACGGCGTCGTACAGGGCCTTAGCAGTCTTGTGCTGGCCAAAGTGAGCGCTTTCAACTATTGGCAGGTGGTTGTGAACGGCTAGGCAAGCACCAGCGTCACGGGCAAGCCACTGTGAGCGAGTTGCACTGTCAGCTGTGTCGGGAGGGGCGGGAGAGGCGCCAGACGTGAGGTCAAACAGCGAGACACCGTCCTTAGCATCGCTCAGTAAGTACACCTGCAGGTCATCTAGCCACGCGTCGAACTGTATCGGGCGGCCCTCTGCATCGAACGAGAGTGCACTAAGCGTAGCCATCGCGGGCAAAGCAAATCAGTGAGCTAGCAGCACGGCAACTCGCAGGCAGGGCAAAGCAGTGCGGCGCACATGCAGATAAGGGCAGGGCGGCACGGCAGCGAACGGCACACAGGCAGGGCAGGGTGGCGCGGCAACAAGCGACGCGCTGGCAGGGCGGAGTAGCGGCGGCTAGCGGCGCGCAGGCAGGGTGACGTGGCGGCGAGCTGTACACGGGCAGGGTAGAGCGCGTGGCAGCAAGTGGCGCGCGGGCAGGGCAGGGCGTGCAGCAGCGAGTTGTGCGCGGGCAGGGCAGGGGGCGCGGCGACGAGTGGCGCGCGGGCAAGGCAGGGCGCGCAGCCAGGGTGTTGACCGGTAAAGGGATCTAGAAGGCTCTATACACCGATAAACGTACACTTAATAATCTCCACGGGGTCACCTCCAAGGGTCCTTGGGTGCCTGGTAGACCAGCCCCTATCCAAGGGTCCGTCTTTGTAGAGAGAATTACTAAGTATAACGTAATCAAGAGTACTAGAGTAGTCCCACTCTGAGTTGCGGAGCGTTGACGATCGATTGGGTCGTGTGCAGAAAAGCTCTTCACGTCAATACGTTGATAGAGCAACTTAACTCGTCGAAGACATTCAGAAAATATTTCCACTAGAAATGAT